TTGTTCCCAACAGACAGTTAGGAGTATGGGAAGAGATCCGTAATTGATGATTTATTGAAAAATAATCTTACCAAAAACAAAGCCAACTAGGTGTAATTAATATTAAATTTAAAATTAATTTGGCTGTAGCCAAAAAGATCAAAAAAAGACATTGAAAATTAAAATGACCCATTAACCGAAATTTTTTGGTTTTAAGAGAAATAAAGAATAAATAGTTGTAAATGGATTTTGAAATCTGATTTAGTCGTGACATTGAGTTAATTGGTTTGATATATGTATTGAATTAAAAAGTTTGCCGCTACATTAATTGTTAAGAGGAGAGCAAAATATTTATTTTCTTTTCATAAAATGCAATAAAAGTTAAATAATTGATTTAGTTTATTTAAAATTAGATTAGGAATGGTTAAAAAAATTAAATTTATAAAATTAAAGAAATTTCTAAAGCTAGGAAATATGTACTGCCTAGTAAGGCTTCACAGGAACAATGACTTAGAAAATGATAAAATCTTTCAGAAAGATTTTCGAGCGAGTGATGGATTCAACAGAAACTCTTCAGTTTATACTAAAAAGTTACCTTTTTTAGGACTTTTATATTGTTTGTAAAGTACCTAACCTTATGCAATTTACAAATTTTCAAACAATTAATTCGAACAATAAAAATACAAGGGACTGTTTTCAAGATATATCTAAAAGAGAGGAAATTCCCTATTTACGGCTACATTAGCAAACAAGACCAAAATTGTTTTTGGCACACAACCAATATCAACACTGCTATCATTTTGTTGCGCCACTTAAATTTCTTTTTCTTGCCCCATTTGATGCATTCTACCTTCAAGCTCTATTTCGTTTTACGGGAGCTGTAGAACGAATATGTGAATTAATTGCACAAATAATCTACGCTCAAGTTCGTTTGTCATGTCGGAACGTGCACCACATCGTGTTCATTTCTGAATAAATTATGAAAGCAGCTTTTAGGAATCGCGTAAGTCAGTACAACACATTAGTTTGATAGGAGACTCATAAGAGTACTCTGTGGATTTGTGTCAGTTAGAAATGATGTATTACGTAACGTGTTAATGTTCTACGCGGTGTATATGGTCTCTATTATTGCGTGTTTTTGGAGTGGACATAGCTTATCTCAGCTGAATGTGATCATTTTTCACTACTTATGTTGAGGATGATGTGATAATCTTCTCGGTTTTGTGATGGCGGAGCAAACAAAAAGAGACAAATAAATCTAATCAGCTTGGATGATACCCGAAAATATATTTCAGGCTTTCGCTTATACGTTTGCGAGGAATTATTTACGAAATGCTCAGCAGAGCTTAAAAGCAGTTGCTTAGCATTTGAAGAAATGCAAATGAATTAGAAATCCAGACTAAAATGGATCGAACATTTATGATTAAGGGAATTCTCAAAATGTCTGAGTTTTATATATGGCGTGTATATTTAATGTGAGAAATGAATGCCTGTAATGCGTACTTATTTAATGCTTTTGCATATTTTTTTGTATTTTTAATTTAAAATTACGCATTTTATTAAATAATATTAGACTGATACAAATATGAGATATTGAGCCGCGATGGATCAGGGGATAGAACGTTTGTCTTCCAATGAGGCGAACACGGTTCGAATCCTTGTCGATACGAATTCCGCATCCGGCTTGCACCGATCACAGTACTGACGTGAAATGTCCTCTGCGGTAGACGGATCATGGGTTAGAGTCCCCTTGCCTTCAGGCTAAACGTGGGAGGTTGTCGTGATCTTTCTTTCCATGTAACGCAAATGTGGGTTAGCTCCATCAAAAAATCCTCCACGAAGGCAAATTTCTCCCAATGCTCGATCCAGAAAATCCCTTGTCTTCTGGATTGGGTTCAAAATTACAAGGCTGTGGAGTTGAACATTAGTAGTTGTAAACCCATAAAAAATTTGGTCGGCTGTTCAACGACGGTTATAAAATAAAATAAAATATGAGATATTACAAGTGATGGGGCACCTTTTTAGACGTTTTAAAAAATTATTTAGGAAATACTGCTTTTACTTATAAATCAATTTATAAATATAATTAAAATTTTAGTAATTAGCTTTAATTCTTTACTATTAGGGTAGATGGCTTTATGTTGGTAATAAAATATAATAAATGAAAATAAAAATTAGTATTTTACTGAAGATGAAACTTATTATTGAAGATAGCTTTCAAGCTTGTTATACAGTTCAATCCCAATGACAGCTTTAGAATCACATTTTATATAAAGATATTTTACAGAAAATTATGACATAAGTATAAATTTAACTGTATGCCTTACTCAATTACTACACTGAAAAAAATTCCGGATCAAATTATTATATTAACTGCCAGCACTTTGAGTGCAAAATCCATATTTACTGTAAATTATTATACCGCAATTTTTACAGTTATATTTATTTAATTAGAGAAATTCTGTGATTATACTGTAATTATTAATGTAAAATTCACAGTATATCAGGTATTTTTGTTCAGCAATGCTCCGGTAACTGTGATGGCACAATGGACATTACATATTTCCTAACTTTTAAGGTTTCTTTAATTACTTAAACTTATTTTTCTAATCATCCCTAATCTAATTTTAAATAAACTAAACCAATTAGTTAATTTTTATAAATAGCGAGCATAAAATATTTTATTCCTTTCTTATCGATGAATGTAATGGCTAACTTTCAATTTCAATACTAATTTAGACTCATTAATTCACTGTCTCACCTAATCGAAACAAATCTATTTATAACTCTTTATTATTAATTTCTTACCACAAATATGTTTCAGTTACATGGTTATAATAATTCTCACAGTCATTTTGGCGATTCGCGATTGCCAAAGTATTTTCAAACCTAATATTGATTATGGGGGTTGGCTCTATTTTGGCTATGTTATCTTTCGATAATTTGGCAACCTTAGATCTGTTTCCCGTGCACCTAGTTGTTCTTTGGGAACAAATTCATTCACTTTCAATTTCAAATGTGTGGTGACTGGGGGGGGGGATCCTTTCGGGCCTCCCTCTGTCCCAACCGTTGAATATCACTCTCTTAACTAAATTCATGCTAACTAAAATCGCGATGTAAGAGAGTGTTTTATCTTGAACCCTTTAAGATATTTATTTTCTTTATTATTTTTAAATTATGGGCATTTTCAATATTTAATAAATCAATTTTTTTTAAACGATTTTATTTATTTCTCTGAGACAATTATCATTTCATATTACATCCAAATTAAGACGTATATGTAACGGCCAAAAGTCAATGATGATAGCTCAACCACCACTAAAATATTAGTAATGGCGATCAACACCACCAAAGTAACAATGGATTTTAAGACAAAAAAAAAAAAAAAACTGGCNAAAAAAAAAAAAAAAAAAACACTGGCTCTAAAGTGGTGGTACTTTTTACCGTAATTTGATTCAGAACTTTTTATAGTTTATAAGAACGAAAAGATTTAAGATAAATTTTTGTCTCTTTGCAGATGTTTACGTAAGTAGATATCAGTTAAAATGGAACATTTAAGATTAAAATAAACTGATTTGCCATTTCCAAAATTTTAACATATGTAATAAAAAACTCAAAAGCCTTCCGCTATTTAGGCCTTCTTTGTTTTGTTTTGCTGCGTTTAGTTAGACATTGATTTTTTAAAATACAGTGATTTTTATGAACTTCGACAGGGAGTACATTGCAATAAAAAAATATTAACATTCTAAAATTAATTAAAAAAATAATAGCTCTCAAACCTTCTGTAAAAAAGAAAAAAAAATGCTAGTAATTCTGCAGTCTGCGGAAATTTAGCTGGACGTACTGAAATGGTCACTTTTATTTATTAGCAAAACAATTTTAATTTTCACGTGCCTAAAATATTATACAATTTGAAATACTTTTTTTAGCAAATATTTCCTTTTTTAATTTTTTGCTTAACAATTTTGTTTTGCCCAACAAGAACCATCCATGCAAGTTACTCTGCAGCCCAGAAAAATGCAAGTGCCTAGGTAAAATTTTACTTTCTTAAAAGGCGATTGTTATCTATAAATATAACGTAAGATTTTTTTTTCTTTCGCTTTGAAAATCCAATTTTTTAAATTTTTTTTTACAAGTTCAAGTAGGTTTTTCAGTTTATTTTTTTCCCTCACTCCTTTTGTTTTAAATAACGATATGCTATTGTTGTGGGAAAAAAATTAGCTATCTCATTCGATCTCTTGATTTTGTAAGTTATTAATGCTGAAACTGAAGAGAAACAAAGATAGCAGTAAATTAGATTTTGCCTTATCAAAATCTTAATATCTATATTGAAACTTTATAATATGTTAAAAAATTAATTAATATCGTTAGTGAGTAAAATGTCTTCTTATTTATTTATTCGTATTGTGCCAAACATTTTGTGTTCCCAAATTGATTATGCGTAGTTGATTAGTTTAAAAATCCAGGTATAAGTTAATTTTCTCATGATCAACACATTAACAAAATGTTTTTCATACAATTACTATATACATGTAATGCATCAGCATTTTTTCCTCTTGTTTTAAAAGATATCGACTTTTAAGGAAAAACAAACTGAAATTTTAAATAAGTAGTTATTACAATAATAGGGTGTAAAGACGACGAAGGGTGGAAGGACGAGGAAGTAAAACCTCCAAATTAATTTTTTTTTAAAAAAAAGAAGGAATTGGAGCCTGTAATTTTCCTTTAAATAATACATCATTACCTATTTCTACGCAAGCATTTTTTCACAATTTGTCCTCGCTTATGGAAGTTTCCGTCTTTCAAAAATTTTGCAAATAGTAAAATTTGAATGTTATTCATTTACTTTAAGTTAATAACACAATTCACTATGAAATATCTATTAACATAATTATTTGCCAAACAACGAATATTGAAAAAATGTATTAAAAATTTAATATCTGATTAATAAAGCTAATGCTAATTATATTGTATCGTACGTAGGTACGTGTAACTAATAAGCATTGCTTGTCTCTTTGCAGTTAGACCATTAGATGTTATGATAGAAGGGGACAGACAACCTTTGTCAGCTCACAAGACAGTAGAATTAGTTTGTAGAGCTACTGGATCAAGACCGCCGGCCGTAATTACCTGGTGGAAAGGGACATCAAAGTTGAAAGCTCTAAAGGACAATATATCTGTTGACGGCAATGTTACAACAAGTATAATAACCATGACGCCATCTAGTGACGATAATGGAAAACATCTATCATGTAGAGCTGAAAATCCATTGATTCCTGGGAGTGCTATTGAATATGGATGGAAACTTGAGGTCCACTGTAGGTAACTGTAAAGAATACGTAAAAACAAAAATAAATGCTATTATATTATATAAAAAATAAAGAATATATATAAAAATATATTAAAAAAAAGTTATGAAAGTTAATATTCCTTCGCTTTATATTTTAATAAATGTATTACTAAATTTAACTATATAAAGATAGTTAAAACGTAATAGGTAATACGTAAAAACAAAAAGAAAACCTATTATATTAAATAAAAAATTAAGAATACATATAAGAATATATAAAAAAAATTCTGAAATTTAATATTCTTGAGCTTTATATTTTAATAAATGTATTACTAAATTTAACTATATAAAGATAGTTAAAGCGTAATAGGTAATACGTAAGAACAAAAAGAAAAGCTATTATATTATATAAAAAATTAAGAATACATATAAGAATATATTAAAAAAAAATTCTGAAATTTAATATTCTTGCGCTTTATATTTTAATAAATGTATTACTAAATTTAACTATATAAAGATAGTTAAACAAATGCGTAATACGTAATAGGTGATACGTAAAAACAAAAAGAAAAGCTATTATATTATATAAAAAATTAAGAATGCATATAAGAATATATAAAAAAAAATTCTGAAATTTAATGTTCTAGCGCTTTATATTTTAATAAATGCATTACTAAATTTAACTATATAAAGATAGAATTTTTTTTAAATTTTAGCAAAATGAATAAAATGAAAGCTTACTTTTTACGTTTTATATTCGTATTTTTATGCTAAATATGCTATAGGTAAGGAAACATAATTTAAAATTTTCAAAATATATTTGAACAAATGAAGAAAAATATTTCAAACTAAAACTGTGATTATAAATTCGTTAAAATAAATGAAATTTAAATTTAAATTAAGTTTTGCCTATAACTTTGATTGTTAAACTGTTTTATTTATAAATACTGCGTAAAGTACGTAGTTGGTAAAATGATAAAAAAAAATATATAATTATAAAATAAGAAATATGTCTAGATCTGGAAAAATAATAATAAGCTGAGTTTATTTTATTTTGGTCATACTTTTAAGGGCTTACAAATAGTAATTTCAAGATATCATTAGGAAATTTCTATATAGAATACTATAATATGATCTGTGAAACTCAAGTTTAGATTTTTTTTTCTATTAATAAAATTCAAACATTTCTTTAATTTTAGATTCATCTATTGCTATCAGTTTAAAACCTACTTGAAAACGCTTTTGTGAAAGTAAATCACATATGGTTTTTTGCATAAAAATTGGCATAGGATGCATATTAATTGTTGTAATTCGGATAGGAAGAAACATGTGTCTTAATATATTTACAAAAGATTATATATTTGTTCTTTGGAAAAGCATTTTTATTGTCAACAGAAATTCTCGGAAACTGCTTAAGGAGTAACTTATAAACATAAGTACAATTTAGACTAACTTAGAATTGAAAAAAAAAAGATTATTTACTAAAATAAATTTATTTAGTTACTCTGTTACAATTTATGGAGCTCACTGAGCCATTATATTGGGAACCATGCTATACACTGTAAAAAGTTCAGGATTAAATTGCGGTTAAAAGTAACGGCATACAGGGTACAGGTGATTTTTATCGTAAAATCCATTTTTACCGGAATATTTTACGGGACAAAAAATCTGATATATCATAAATATTGAAGTAATAACTGCTGTAAAATCACGAAATCACTCAAATTAAATAATTATTATTGCAAAAATTACGATATAATTTTTTACGGTAAAAATAGATTTTAATGTAAAATGGATTTTAAGGCGAAATGGATTTTACGGCAGAATGGATTTTAAGAATGACCCAATGTGCCGGTATTTTATGTCTTAACTTGATAGGGATTTTTTACAATGCACCCAGTATCAATTTTCAATATGATTCAACTTTCAATATTATAATATAGTAGTTTTCCAAATTTATAAGGGAAATGAAAATTTCAAATCTAATATTTCTACTTAGAGTGAAGTAGATATGGAGTTAAATTAATTCATGTTACTTTGCTTAAATGTAATTATACGACACTAGTGCTCAACTTGAACAAAAACATGATTCAGTCCAGATTAAGATAGCAACTGGTGTAATTTTAAAATTGCACCAGTTTATAAATTTTTCTGTTCAACTTTGAACCAATTGTTCTAAAAATTTATCTCATTTTTAATGCTCATAAAGTATATAGTTTTATTAAAGACTGCGCTTTTAAACAATAATATTTTTGTAAAGATTTAAAATGTTTAGGTGGATCTTCAATCCTCCCTTTACCAGTGAATGCAATTTGTGTAATTAGATTAAGGAACGCTTTAGTGCATTTTAGATTCATGACTTTAATGAAAATTTCAAGAATCTTAGATTCTCAATTTTTTATCTTAAGAAAGTCGATTAGATATAAGTAAATTGCATTCGAGATTTTTTTAAAAAATGCTCTAACTAAATTGAGTTAAATTGTAAATAAAGCATACAAAGGACATAATTATACTAAATCTTGTAAAAATAATAAGTAAGTAAAACAAAAAATCGTTTAAGCAAATAACCCGAAGGAGTGTTACTTTAGTAACATTTAACTTGAAAATTCACAGAAAGAAAATGAAAGCTGTAAATGTACTTGGAATTATTAAGTATTTGCTCTGTTGAAAGAACTATAAGAAAAATGTTACATTAAAAATTATTATCGTTTTATTTCTAGTTGATATTTTATTTCATTTTTCAATAGCATTTTGTTTCCCCCTCGAACATTCGATTAAGATATGCATTGATTTATTTTTTGTTTTACTAAGAGAAATATAATGGACTCGTATTTCGTAATGTTAAACAAAACAAAATCATGCGCATCCATATGTATTTTTTTTACTTTGTTTTATCTAAAGTAATGGTTTTTGTATGCAAGAAAAAATGCGATTTAGATTCCAAAAGCGAGTAAACTTCGATTAAATATTTATGAACCTAATTTAAAATGTTTTTAATACAGAAGGAGAATTTGGCATGCCGTGTTAAATTTTCGAGAATGATAGTTTTGTTTGCCTTTTAATACACAGATAGATTTAAAAGAAGACGACTGTTTAGATTTTATGAAGAAGAAATATGTTTTATCACATGATATGAAAATTTTAAAAATTTTAAAAAATAAAACTTAAATAGAATAAAAAATAAACCTTTAAAAAATAAACTTCTCGTGTTTGGACAATAATTCATTTTGCTGGTATATCAGCTCAACAACGATGTAACATTTCAGCAGGTGCGATTAAACTTATCTTCACCATATATTATATGCATTTCCTAATAAGACTGTCTATGCTATAATATTGCAGTATAAATGTTATAATAGTAAGGTAAAAATGACATGTTATAAAAGAGCCAGACTACTATTTGCGCTGTCATACACAAAACTCATTCCAAAAATTCACTTAAGACTTTAACCATTATAACTATAAAATACTGCCAAAAAAAGAATAAAATTACTGGAATTGAACAATGTTGAGTTATTCTCGTTTTGGTGATATGACTCTGTCTTATTAATCGGTCAGTTTTCTCTGTTTCTTTATTTTTTTATATCAAAGGTTTTGTTGACTAGTCCATAAGCACCCACGTCTTGAATGAGCTAATTGAGATCTGTATTAACAGGACTCAATCTCATTAGGCAAATGACAAGAATTTGTCTCCCAGAAGAGACGATTGCTGTCGACTAAAATTTTCCTCTCAAATTACTTTATTTTTCTTATCATTGTTCCTTGTTTCATTTTTTTTACAAAAGTATAGAACTTTCACTATATTTGTATGAAACTTTCATGAGTTTTATGGTGGAACTCAGTATTAAGTTATGCATGGCAATAATGTTCCTTTTCGCTTTGTCTTTAAGTTTAATGCTTGGTTTTATTATTTTTATTTGCGTCTGAAAGTAAATGATTGTCACTCTAAGATTTATTTCATTATAATGAAAATTTATATATTGAATTTGGTGTTAGTTTGCAGAGAATAGAAACTTTGCTTAAAAGAACAGCAAACATTCTAAAGATGTTAAATTATCTTATCAAATGTATCTCATCAGTAGTATCATCAAAAGTATCTCAGAAAACGTATCATCAGAAAAAGTATCATCAGAAGTAAATCATTATTTTTATGAAACTCTCATGAGTTTTATGGGGAATCTTAGTCTTTAGATATGCATGGTAACAATGTTTCTTTTCACTACCTGCTTAATTTAAAAGCTACATTTTATTAATGTTATTTAAGCCGGTAAATATACCATTCTCAAGCTAAAATGTATCTAATCATAATGAAAATTTATGAATTGAGTTTGCTTTGAAAATGTTTGCTGTCCTTTTGAGCTAAATTTCCATTTTCTACAAACGCACATCAGGAATATTTTAAATGAAGTTTTCTCAAGGGAAAAATCTTGAGACATGAAATTTGAATTTTAAATCTAAATAAATTTGTCATTTAAATATTCTGAGAGAAATTCCGTACACAATTGCATGCTTTATCTTAAAAATTAATACATTGTTCCAGTTTTATTATTAACATTTTTAGCTATTTCGTTTTTCTCATTCATGTTGAAAGAAAAATAAATTTTACTTTAGTAATAATATTTCATAATTCTTTAGCTATTACGCATACGGAAAGAAATCTTGATGATATTAACTCAAGAATCAGAAAAAATACTAATTTAAATTATTTGAATTTGAAACCAAAGTAAAAAAAGAGTGTAAAATAAAAATAAAGAACAACATCTTGTAAAAAAGTCATTTGTTATGGAAAAAATAGCGTATGACACAATTGTAATCAATTATTGAAATCTTTTTCATAAAAAAAAAAGTACGAGTAGGGGGAAAAAGGAAAAGATAACGTAGAATGAGGACAACGCTTGAATTAAACTAATAAAAATCACTAATATCATTTATTTGTCTTACTTCCTTAAAATTCTGTTCAAGAATTCATTTTTATTAAATCTAAAAAAAAAATTCAGAAAATATTCAACTATTTAAGAAGGATATTCTTATGATTAATTTAATTATCTTATTTTGTATCTTTATTTCCTAAAAGGGCTTTTTGAAGAAGAAAAATAATTTTATTAAGGACAATGCTCCAAAGAGGAATTCAGAATTGTCTATATTGTTTTTAGAAATTTAAGTTTTTATAAAAGTTCAAAATGTATTTACAAATTAAAAATATATATTACTTGGAAAAAAACTTATTTATTTATTTTTTTTCTAAATTACTATAACTTAATTTATAGAAATATACCCTTTTGAATAATCCGTATGAATTTGTACAATTTTAGGATAAAAACTTAAACGATAATTAATTTTGAGATTATATAAGTTTCATCGATTTATTAATTTGTTTTAATAAACTATACTTACTTATTTTTCGTTTGGGGGTATATTCAACTTAAAATATTGCTTCCTAGATTAAAATACTTTTTCATGATTAAAATTCTTTGTTAAATTATTTTTTTTTTTGAAAAATCAGTACAAAATTACAGAATTTATGTTTTTTGTGTTATGCAAATACCACTCCAAATACAAATGTTTAATTTTTTTAAAATTAAGTCAAAACTGAATAATTATAGGAAGACAGAAATTAGCACATAAGCGTGGGGAAAATCTTTTCAAGTCGCAATCGAAGTTTGACAAATCACAGTTGAGGAAGAAAAATAAGCATAACACCAAAAAACTGTTTGAATGCTAATAAAAATCTGTAGGTTCTACTGATAATCGTCTTTCGATTTATCCCTGTCGCCTTCAACAAAACAGGTGTTTTTTCCACTCTACCTTCTTCAATAGTGATTCAATTTTGGAAGAGTTTTTGCCCTTTAATTATTAATTTGTAACGAAGGCTAAATTTTTTGTCTTCTTTTTAAATAAGGATTCTAAAAGTGCTTATCAAAGGTGGTCTTTACGGAACACCATATATATTATTTTCTCATTATAATTTCGAAGAGCGCAGTACTAAATTATTATTTTTAGATACTTTCTTTATAACGACTTTTGTAAACCTCAAAATTAACTTCATTGATTTCATCGAACTACACTTCAGAGTTTAATAAAGCTAACCATGTTTGATTGTGGAAAGAAACTTGCCCCTATGGGGAAGGAAATTTGTGTGATTAAGGGAAACATTTGCTTGACTACGGAGGAAACGGAAAGAAGTTAAAAATGAAGAAGTTCGTAAAATCGCCAAATTTTAGTATGCAATCAGACAGGTTTTTTGATGTTCCATACACATACAAGTAATTGTGATGATTATTCACTTTAATTCTATTTTGTGACACCCAATAAGCATACTCTTTTTTATTCATATTTTAAACGATTCTAGGATTATATATTACGGCGGGTCTTTGCGGCACATCCTGTAATTTTAGATATCAATTGTTCATCAAAATAAAGGAAATCATATATACTTAATAACGAATATCAAATTGGCCCAATTTATAAATCATATCGATTTTTTTCCAAATTAGAACCATTCTAATCGTTTCAAAATTTTTCTAATTACAAAATAAAATTAACAGTTTTAGCTAATAACAAAAAGCCAAAATTGACCATCAGCGTTTTATTTAATGATAACACTCTATAGACCTAAATAAAAACCATTAATAAACTGATGAGATTTTAAATTGCTTTTTGATTGCTCTAAGTTTCTTTGTTTTCCGCAAATTTAATCCCCAAATAATTGTTCAGGTGTACCAAAAATGAACTAGATAAATCACGGTATCCAAAAAATGAACTAGATAAAACTATCTGGCCTGTCAAATGATTAAGAAAGAATTAAGCAAATAATTACATTTTTGAAATAAAATATTACCCAAATTGTTCTTTATTTTATCTAGGTTCTGTTAACATGTTTTTCTCGAATTAAAAATTAGTATAAAACACTTAATTAAAAATTATTTTCCTTAAATAAGTCAATTGCTGAAAAAACAAACATTGTGTTCCGTTTTTTCATTCTAAGATACTAATTTCTCCTAATACAACTATTAGTTTCATTAGATAATATTTTTTAATGAATTTAAAAAAAAAATTGTATATCTAATTAAATATAAGTTTAATTAAGCTGTATATAAGTTAATTAAACTGTGTAAGCTGTATATAACAAACATTGTTTTCTGTTTTTCGTTCTAACATGCTAATTTCTCCTAATGGAACTATTACTTTTATTAGAAAATATTTTTTAATGAATTTACAAAAAATTTGTATATCTGATTAAATGTAAGTTTAATTAAGCTGTATATAAGTTAACTAAACTGTGTATATGCTCCAAAATATTTAAGCAATTAAGATGGAAAAAATATTTTTAGAAACAATGCTTCAAGAACTAAATAAAAAGCACTGCACCTTTCTTATCTGATTAATATCCAAGTATCAACGGTAAATGAAACGTAATTTACATATATTTAGGAAACTTTAGCTACGTGCATTTGGGAAACTTTTATAACGTGCATTTATACGAAAATCTGATGTAGTTAGCGTTCTGTCTGTAAAGTAATGAATTTTCTCGGTAAAAATCCATAGTTCTGCTTAATAAAACCAAAATATACGTTATTTAAAGCATTAACTTGGTAGTTTTTTCATTCGCATGGTAGCTGTTTACTGGAAATTCTGGTTTTTAAAACAAAAGTTTTCATTACCGCACATTTAGTAAGAAATTCCAAACTGAAAAGTAAATCTTACCGAACAAATTATTTATTAACCATGCTCTAAGGCATCATGATAAAACAATAAATTTTATCACTTTTGCTTAATTTTATGCATATTACAAAATCATATTTTATTATTTTTACCGAAGTCATAAACAAAGCATTTAAGCATTTTTGACCCTACATTTTTTTTGGTGCAGGAAACTTTAGTTACGTCGATTAAGGAAACTTTATTTGCTTGCATTATGCTATGAGTTTGTTGAATGCTCAAAGAGTCATACTTTCAGCAAACTTTGGAGAATGATACTTGGTTTTGATCACTGTGATGTTTTGTTGATAGTTCCCTACATAAAAGATTAAATACAACAATAATTAATTAATGACTTATTGATAAACTGTTTCAGACGCAGTTAGTTGAAGTCTATATAATTACCAAGCAAGTTTTCATCAGGTTTTTATAAGTTAATATTTTGTTCACTTAGGCACAATGCTTTCTTTAAATAATGGAACGAAGAGATTTTGTGACAGATTTGTAAACCTATGGTAATTAGAGCATTTTTCTAGAAAAAGAAACATTCGAAATTTCTTTAGATTTTAAAAAAGGTTTTGTCCCAGAGTTCTTAATAAAATTCATGAGCAATTTTATAAAGCAACAAAATAATTATATTTTGCATTTTCATCTGTCTGCACAAATATTGATTTGATATGTCATCTATTTCACTTCTTCCATTTCAGATATTCCTCAGCTGACACTTCGCCTTGGCAGCAAACTTAGGCATTCCCATATCCAGGAAGGGAACGATGTCTATCTCGATTGCAGCATCATTGCCAGTCCTTGGGTTAGTGAAATTGCTTGGAGATTCGGAGGTAAAGAGCTTCAAACTAATACATCTGCTGGGATTATCGTCAGTAATCAAAGTCTAGTTCTCCAAAAAGTGCAAAAGACTTCCAGGGGACATTATACTTGCGTTGCCAGCAATAGCGAGGGCGAAGGCGAAAGCAATGGTATTCAACTTAGAGTTCAATGTAAGCTATTTACTAATACTATTTCCTTTATTTGTGGTGTCTTTGGTGGCTCAGGGGATAGAACGTTCGCCTTCCAATGAGGTAAATCGAGTTCGAATCCCATCGATAGCGGGTCGATATGAATCCCGCTCCCGTGTCGCACTAACCACAGTGAAATATCATCAGTGGTAGATAGACCATGGGCTAGAGTCTACTTGCAATCAGGCTAACCACTGGAGATTTTCGTGGTTTTCCTCTACATGTAATGTGGATGCGGGTTTGTTCCCTCCAAAAGATCTCCATGAAGGCAACATCTATCACAATACTTGATCGAGGAGTTCCCTTGCCTTCTGGATTGGGTTCAAAATTACAAGGCTGAGGATTTCAACATTAGAAGTCGTAATCCCTAAATTGGGTTGGTTGTTCAACGACGGTTATAAAATAAAATAAAAAGAATCAACTTCTCATTGTTCAAGTAACAGATATACCACTACAAACAAATTTACATTTTAAACCATTTTCTTTTTCTGCATTTTATTCGTCATGGCAATAGAAAGTGACAAGTGAGGAAGATTTAAATTTGGGATATATTTTAGGAAATTGTATTATATATATTAGAATATGTAATCCAGTTAGGACTTTTTATCGACTCTATTAAGAGTTATTCTTGAGGAATAAAAATTTTTTCGAAACTTTTATTGAATAGTACGCATAGTTCAATGTTATCATCTTAGTTTTTAATTTTCGTTAGACTTAGTTTTTAATTTTTTTTTATTTTTAATCCAATCAAAGTATTTATAAGAGTTAGCTAGGTTGGGAAAAATGGAGTTCTATAAGAATTATCAACGCGATTTTTAATATCTGTGTATTATTTTATGCATATCGTTTGTACACTGAGAAAGAAAACATGGTCAAAACCACCAGAATACGATAAATCTTCGGAATCTATGGAAACACCTAAATGCTTAGTAATTTTTATCGAAGTGCTTTGGTAATGATTTTGGTAAAATTAACTATAAAATATTGTTAGAACATGACAAAAAACATTTATTCGTTACATTTACTTTTCAGTTTTGTATTCGCTTATAAAATATGTCGTAATGAAAGCTAACATTTTTAAACCCATTATTCCTTGTAAACCATTACCAAATGAATGGTTTGAATACTGTATATTTTGGTTTTATTATACGGAATTATAGGTTTATTTATTTAACCAGAAATTTTATTAAGGTAATTTTACCAGAATTTTTCACCGTGTATAAATTATTTTAAAAAAAGTTTAAACATAGTACCCATATAGTTATTTATATTTTTATTCACCAGAAACGAGTGTAGGAAACTTCAGAATTTTCTCATTGATAGGGTTCAATTTTATTAAACCTTTTACCTTCGATGGGTAACGTGTCCAAATGAGAAAAAAAATTCAATAAAATTGCTGTACTCCATCGCAATGATATAGTATACAAACAAAGATCGCAAGTGGCAGAAGAAAAAACAAAAACACTATAAAAACTTAACGAATCAGAAGAGATGAAGACTGGAGGAAACAGAGATGAATTGAACAAGGATTATTAGACGAACCTTCAAGTTTTGTCACACATCGCCATATCATAGCCAAGCACCTTTCCCCGTTTTTCGGGCCTCCATCTTTTAATAACCATGGCAGAAATGCCACGTACTTTTGACCACGGTTCAGACGAGGTGAACGGTGCCTAAACTGGTAAACCCCTTTCCAAACTTCCACACACCAACCACCGAGAGAACTTTCACTAACAACTGGTTAAACGAACACTTTGCTGCGCATGCGTACCGGCCGTTCTGTCCTCTTCTAGGATTCGAACTCACAACGCTCAGCTCTCCTCCAGCTGTGTGAGTGACGCCTTACCAAGTTTCATGAGTTAAACAAACATGTTTTGGTTTCTTATATCCCACTTTGTCCTTACGACTATTTTTTTTCTTCTTAGCTTTCGGTACCCAATGATTCTAACAGCGTTAATGACAGTGCTTGTAGAACAGCTAAAAATGATAGAATGCAAGAAGAAATACAATTTAATGGCAAGATTATTTTCAGTTAAGATTCTGAATGATGTTCACTAAATAGAATATATAAAGTGCAAAAAATACATATTAGTACAGTACAATATAAGATTTTTTGGACAGTTCTGTTTATGTAAATTAGTCACTCTACTTTTTAAAGAATATTTAATGTAGTTATTAAATGTTGCTATTTGAAATAAAATCTTTAATATAAAATAAACAGGTTTACTAGTCTTAGACGGCTTTCTATATAGCATTACAAGGAATGAACAAAAAGAGGATCTATCGTAGTTGCTTATACGGATTGTTCCTTAAAGCACGTTGTGCCAACTTCCGCATGGCTAGATATTTAGAATCCTTACTACTTCATTCAATATTCTTTTTCATCCACTGATGCAAGTAAGATGAAAAAAAGGAATAAAAAAAGTTCGGAAAGAATACAAGCAACTGTACAACGTCTAATTCTGTTAGAACAGTCTTTTCGGGACAAAGTGATGTCTTTTTTTCTTCTATTTTGTGAAAGAAAAGGACAAGCCATTGTAAGAGGATACTGTTTTCGTATTCCCATTCCGTTTCGTTTTCCATAGCCTTTGTTATCTATTTTGTTATTTTGAGTAGTCTCGAAAAATCTACTTTGCCGAGATTCCGTAATGGAGCATTTTGTCGCTCTGAAAGTCACAAAGGAACACTATATGTTGATTAATATCTAAATCCTGCTTCGATAGAATTTTCTCGCAGCCAGAAAATTACCATAAAAGTGCATTAGGAGTTCAAATTGGCTGTAAATTAGCTCCAGTACAACAATTCTGAATGGATTTAGTTAGTTAAGTTACATTGACTTAACAGATGACACATGGACAGCAATTTATTTGAAGCAGTTAAGTGCTGAGAATTAATTAAATATTTGTTTTTTAAAAAAATACGTAATTCAAATTTGCATTTGGTTAAAAAATTATCCACTTATGTTTAACTTTAGTATTTCTCAACATTAATTTATATAAATATTAGAAGTTAAAACGATTATATAAATTGATAAGAAAAATAAAATATGAAACAATTGGTAAATTTTTGACCAAATGATTTAATAATTAAATACTAAAAATACAATTTCTTTTGTATGAAAGGCAAAGTGCGTTCTGGAAATATATTTGTCTTTTTTAGTGTATTTTTTCACAACCACCTTCACAATTAAGTCTTCCAATCAAAAAGAAAAATGCGGTGATTTTGATGTACAGTTCGAAAAAAATAAATAAAAATAAATAAATGGGGAAAAAAAAGGAACACCCTCAATAACTTTTTATTTAAGGATCTGATTTTCACGTTCTTGGACTCCATCCTAATGGCTCGAGGGGTGACTTTAAATATGCAGATTAATAAGTGCAAACGATACTTCAAGTTTCGAAATTCAACACAAAAACGTATTTTCTGTGGAAAAAACTTGCCTTGTTTTCGACGGATTCGGATTTTTGACCCCCAAAATATGGGCGGTAGCCGTAATCTGGGAAAAATGGTCCCAAAAGTTTGATCAGGAGAGTGTCTTTCTTCTTCCCAATTTAATGCCGTAATTCATTTTTTTTTAAATGGGTATTTTTAAAATAAGTTATTGATGATCTTAGATATGTATTTTCTTACAACCAAAATTTGTGTTAGATCAATTATTTTATAATTAAAAGATATGTAATTTTTTAAAACCTTTTTCGAGTTTAACGATATCAAAACCTTTTCCCGATGAAATAAATAAATAAATGTATAGACAATATTTTATAAAGGGTCTTATAAAACTGAGTTATTGATGATCTTAGAGTCCTCTACATTTCCTCGCAGCAAACCTAAGCCGCTAGTACTGATAAATGATTTATTTTCTCTCTGCAGACAGTCCTCTCTGTAAACCAGGTCAGAAAGTGGTTTATGGTGCAGCAAGGCACGAAGCCGTCAAGGTAGTATGTGAAGTGGAGGCGGATCCACGGCAGCTCAGTTTCCACTGGGAATTCAACAGCTCTTCAGACAATCTTCAAGTGTTAACATTCGTGGCTGAAGGACTTAGAAGTGTTGCGACATACATACCTAGGACAGAACAGGATTATGGGACGCTTCTCTGTTTTGCAGAAAACATTGTTGGAAGGCAGAAAGAACCTTGCGTTTACATCGTAGTTCCCGCGGGTAATTAAAATCATGTATTTGTTAAGGCTTTGGGATAAAAAAAAGGAGTATTGAAAACCAAAGGAAGAAAAAATTTATTCATAAAAAGAGATTTACAACTTAAGGATTTTTCTCTCTTTTTTGAAGTTTTTCTTGAAAGGAGTTTGGGATTTTATTGAATGTAAAAGAATTATATTTTAGTAAATATGCATCTAATTTTATTAAATAACTCAGGATTAAGCAACGCTTTATAAAATCTTTAATAACTCAGAAAATTTAATGAACTACGTTATTCAGATATTTAAAAATAATATTCACAATCAATCATAAAATAAAGAATAATAACGTGTTGCAAAATTAATTTGAATTTTATCTTCTTTAATAAAAAAAAGTAACATTTTTTCAAGGTATAAATATCGTTAACATGTAACTTAACAGTTAATAAAATAAAAAAAAATATATATGATATTTAAAATAACTGTAATTTTGCCATTTAGACATTTTTTTTAAAAATTATCCATGTACATATTAGTACATGTACATAATTAAAAACTTTCATTTTGCTCTATTGAAACAATGTAACGATTTTAATTTTAATCTTATACATATATATAATCTTATATATATAATCTAATATATATAATCTTATATATATAATCTAATATATATAATCTTATATATATAATCTTATATATATAATCTTATATATATAATCTTATATATATAATCTTATATATATAATCTTATATATATAATCTTATATATATAATCTTATATATATAATCTTATATATATAATCTTATATATATAATCTTATATATATAATCTTATATATATAATCTTATATATATAATCTTATATATATAATCTTATATATATAATCTTATATATATAATCTTATATATATAATCTTATATATATAATCTTATATATATAATCTTATATATATAATCTTATATATATAATCTTATATATATAATCTTATATATATAATCTTATATATATAATCTTATATATATAATCTTATATATATAATCTTATATATATAATCTTATATATATAATCTTATATATATAATCTTATATATATAATCTTATATATATAATCTTATATATATAATCTTATATATATAATCTTATATATATAATCTTATATATATAATCTTATTTATATAATCTTATTCTTATATAATCTTATATATAACATAATAGTTTCCTTAAAATATTAGATTTCGATAAAATATTTAGCTTAAGGTGAAAAAAAAGAAAAATGAAGGGAAAAAAATTGAAAGCTTACAATATTTTTGAGAAAAGTCAATTTTTGCTTAATATGTAAATTATTTTTATTTGATACTATAATTTTTCTCAATAATATAAAAATTTTATTTAATACACTCCTTCATTATCATGAATAACACTGGGGAGCAAATTTTTGATTATATTTGTGCCAGAAACTGATCAGAAACACACGAGGAAACAGTTGAAAAAGGGAGATCCCGCTATGACAATATCTCCGGGTACGGGTTTCTATGTAACTTTTAATCCTGATGCTGTGGCCTAACTCACCTAAAAGTTTGCCGCAACATTTTTACTATCCCATTTTATGCGTATATAACGTTTTGTAAATTTTTACATTTCGACTAAGAGTCGGCTAAAAAAAGAAATCGGCTAAAAATGTTATTAAAAAAATATTAACTGGAGTTTGGTGAGAGAAACTGATTGCAGACTTGAAATCAGCAATGCAAAGTATCTGTGCTATGTTGAAAATCCCATGCAAAAGAAAACAAAAGAAAATTTTTCCCTGTGCTATTTGTATTTAAAAGTGATTGAAACTCTATTACGCAACATATGCAAACCACGGTGCAAATTATTGTTGTTGTCTCTTTCAGGGCCTCCAGATCCAGTTCAGAATTGTGTGATTATGAACCAAACTGAACAATCATTTCGAATCGAGTGTTCGGAAGGTTACGATGGAGGAGTATCGCAGCATTTTGTGTTGGAAGTGTACGATGCGATAACTAGCACTTTGCAAACAAATAGAACTTCTTCAGAGCCAATATTTACAATTCAAGGGCTTCCTCCAGGAACAGATTATCTTGTGATATTGTACGCTGTGAATAGTAAAGGTAGAAGTGAATCAATTGCGTTGAGGAGTAGTACTCTTACAATTCCAGAAAGTCTAACAAGAGTGGGTAAGTCCAATATTACTTAAGTTCATTTAACACTATGTAGATTTGTTATAAATTCTACTGCATTCAAATTAATTTTTTTATGTTGGCCATATTCTCTGAAGTTCATTCTTTGTCACATTCTGGTTAATTCTTTTTTGCTATTAGGTTGGCAAAAATTTATGAAGTTCATATATGGTTGCTCCTTAGTTCACCATAAGTTGTACATTAGACCTTTTGTTGGAGTTGATGTTACTCCTTGAATAACACTGTTAAAAGCTCCACATCAAATTATGGAATAAAGTACCAGAATTTTTTGTCCATTATCCATAAAATCCAGTTTACCGCAAAATATTAAACTGTCATTTTTCCATAATATTTATATATTCAGAGGGATTCTGTGACCTTACTGTAGTTATTATTGTAAAAATACCGTATATCAGAATTTTTTTCCGATACATGTTATGGTAAAAATGGATTTTAAGGAAGAAAATACCGATATTCTGAGTTCCGGTACTGACCAATTTATTCCGGAATTCTTTACAGTGAGCATTTATTGAATTATTTTTTTTTAAACTTATTAATTGATTGAATTTGGATAGTCATTCAATTAAAGCTATTTTTATGCAATATAAAACAAATCAAGTACATTCTTTGGTCCAGATACAATACGGAGATTGCACAGATACAATATCGAGACTTTTCCAAGATAAGACTTTTCCACTCGTACACTTTCTTAATTTTGTTAGAACTAATAAAAATTAATGATTTTTTTCTAAAACCAATATAATAATATTTTTTTTTGGTATTTATTTAGCTTAGTTTTGTTCTCAAGCAATAGGTTTTTATTTCCCTATCAAATTATTTAAAAAAGAAAACAGCAACTGAAACAGAAAGAAATTTTTTTTCTTTCGAATGTCTGAAAAACCTAAAATTTTCATTAACATTAAAGTTTTTATTCAAATAATATCTGTTGTTACTGACAATAACTACATATACTGAATGCAAAATTCTTCTACTGGGTGTCGCAAATAGTTACACGAATTCGAAGCATATTGTGATCCAAGATGCAACACTCTACACTTTTCTATAATAATTAATTAATCATTGAGTAGCAAAATCATAGATAGGTAAGCAATTTCGGAGATTGAACTCGACTGAGAAAAAAAATTGTATAAAAATTTAATCAACATTGTGTGAATTTTTTCCAGAAAGACTTAAATTAGAAGAAATTATTTTTAAAAAACTACATTGATACATTAAAATTGAATTATGTAATAATTTTCCTTACAGATGGTGATGTTTGGCAAGTCAGCTTCAGTCCATTTCTTCTGGTTTTAATAGCTGTCGTGATTGGACTTGTTTTGCTTGCCCTGATTATAGTTCTTCTAATTAAATTTCGCACAAAGCACAACCATCGTAAAGGTAAGTAAAAACCATTTTACTCTACATAAGAAAAGTAATTAAATTGTTCATTGATCTAAAAATTAACGTTGCTTTAAGATTAGTAAAACTAGAATATGTAAAATGTTCAATAGTTAATGAGCTAGCAAAAATCTCTACTTCATACATTATTAAAAGTCTGTTTATTTGTACAATATAAGTTTCTGACGATAATACCAATCAAAATTTTACAAATATGGCTATTAATCATAATTTCATTTTGGCAACGTTGTTTAAAAAATCTTAAAAAATTCAAAATTTGCTCTTTTTATAGTATAACGTTAATATTTTGGAAGAATAAAAGCAATGAACATTGTGCCGAATACTTTATAATGCTATAATGCATGCCGACTAATAAGTTAGTCGGCATGCAGCACTAGTTCCATAGTAATTTATTGTAATGGTATTTTAAAATCACATATATCACACACTGAGAAGAAAAATATGGTCAAAACAACCAGAAATATAGTAAAATTTAACTTATTTCTAACTCAATCGAAAAATTAAACAGCTCAATTCATTTTACTGAAGCTCTTTGATAATATTTTTTTTAAATTAAAGGTTTAAAATTAAAGGTATTATAAAGTTTTATAATCGGTGAAAATTTTCATATGTGTAAAAATTTACTATTTTTATCATCATATCTTGGAGCATGCAAAAGAACCTTTAATTTTTGGTTTTGTATTTATTACTAAATGTGTTGGTTTTGAATTTATTACTAATTTTGAAAACCAGAATATCCGATAAACCACTACCATATGAATGGTAAAAATTCAAAATAAATGGTTTAAATACAATATATTTTGTTTTTTTTTATCTAGAATTTTTTTTAAATTAGAAATGCTATAATGCCATTACTATACTGTACGGTAATTTTACCAGAATTTTTTCTCCGTGCAAAAATAATGGAGAGTTGAATAATGTAATTTCTTTAAATGACGACATTAGATCAAACATTTTGTAAATCTTCCATTGAAACATAGTGAAGCATAATCCGCAATTCTCCAAAAATCAAACGTCAATCTTTTTAAACTTGAAAATAGCCAGCGTCCTCATAGTCCTTACATCCGACAAATTTTGTTATTCAACGTCTTCTAACGTGTTTGTTGAACTACTAAGTTTCCATGGTATCAGACTTAATGTTTTGAATATTTAAAATCGAAATATCAACGAAAGTAGAACTAGAAAAATAGAAATCAACGAACTCGCTTTGAAAAGACTTGACGCAATATTTTTTCTCTTTTTTTCATTCTTAGAATTACACATCTTGAAAAAAGGAAAGTCTTTATTTGAAAAATACTATATTTTTACGCAAAACACTCTTCTTAAGAGGCTTTTTTTCCGATGCTACAAAAAATGCTCTTAAACAGCTTTATTTAATGTTTACAATTCAGCAGGTTTTTGCAGCACAGTAACTCTATATTATTGTGCTAAAATTTATTTAAATATTATTGTGAATCTTTCTGCAGCTTTAGCCGAAAATACTGATTCACATTTAAAAAAAAGTTTTAAACTCCAAATTAAAATAAAATAAAATAAAATAAAATGAAATGAAATGAAATGAAATGAAATGAAATGAAATAAAATAAAATAAAATAAAATAAATAAAGTAAAAAGAAATTAAAGAAATAAATAAAATGAAAAGAAATAAAAGAAATAAATAAAAAAAACTAACCAACACTGAAGTAAAGTTTTATATGCGATATATCTGAGAATATGTAAAGCACTGCTTGCTCAATACATATAGTGCGCGGATATAAGAAAATTTTAATTTTGCTTTGAGTTATGCAATAATTTAAGCAATAAAATAGACGAAAAATAACAGAATCTTACATTCAGAAACAATTTCAATAAATAATTTAATATTTCCCATATAAGAGACATTGTATACACCATACACAGGAGCGTTCTTTAATAGTTGGTCATACATATATTTCTTATCAACATGCTTGCTTTCTTCTTGAAAAGTATCCATTTTTATAGCTTCTGTAAGTTCAGAATCCAATAGCACGAAGATATCAAATTCAGCTATATCTTTCCATAATCTGTTTTACGATGGTCTTTCTACCGAAGTTATGATTTCTGTATCATGTACTACAAGCAATATTCTAAAGTTGCAAGATTTGAAAGTACGCTAAGTATAAGCAAATATCTGGAAAAAAACTATAAAATGTTGCATTAAAGCTTTACTCGTTGCCATCAGAATATATAAAGTAAAATTTTTAATACGTATAATCTAAAGATATAAAAGTTTCTCTGAAGTACAAAAATCATGAAGTTTATAAAAAGCAAAAATTGAGCAGGAAATTAGGTAATTCGGGGTATGAACTTAGTTTAATTTATAGAAAAGTTATAGATAATGTATATAATGAGTAAGATATGATAGATATATACTATGCATATGAATAAAAAGTTATTGATTTACTGTATGAACCACTTTTGAAGTAAATAGTTTACTTATACTAAAAATTTACGAGATTGATAAATTTTTAATAAAAGCTGGTCATTGAGTAGCTCTTTTTTTATTAATAGTACAGATTAAGATAGTGTGTTTGTGAATTTCTGTCAAAATATGTAGATCATTCTTGGGCTTTTTATTTTGGACAACGCCTAAAATGCGCGTTTAAGAAAATAGAAATAACTTATATTGCATGTTTTAAAAAAAGCTTTTAAAATCTCAAAATGCTTATTTAGGAAAATGGACACGAAATGAGGTTTTAAAGAAATAGAAAGTGGTTAAAAGCTTATTTAAGAAAATTGAAATAGCTGAAAATTGAGCTAAGTCTTTTCCAAAAACAAGGATTTCGAAGTATTTATATTTTCATTAATAGGCAGTTTGAGTTATGATCAAAATAACAAGTTCATCAACGAGATAATTTTTTTTCCAAATAGCATGTATGGAATTATTAATTTTAAGTATTTTAAATGTGCGTTTACTTTCGGATCTAAAGGAAACCGAAAACAATTCCTTGTGGCCCAGCTAAAAACAAACCGCAGAAAATCAACAACAAAAAAATGCAGTTTGAAGATTGTGGTGATTTGGCCAATTCCGCTACAGAATTTTTGAAGCGGAAACACCTGCAATATTGCTGTAGTTTGTAAACTGCAGTAATTTTGTCAAAATGTTGACAGTAAATATATATAGAGATCTTAGTATTCAGTGGTGCCATCTATCGTGAGTGATAGGAAATACTATAGTTTTTGTTTAGAAAAAAGATTTTTTTTTTAACTTGATCTATTCTCTTGATCACATGGAGAAATTACGGAGTATAGCACTCGCGAAAGTTTTCTGTTGTGAATATGTGAACACATCCTGCCTGCACAATTAGCCCTCTCGGCTATGCCTCTGTGTCACTACAGATGCAAGGAACTAACTGCTTTCATGAGGTGCTTCTTGTTGGCGGGATAAAGTTTTTGTTTGTTTAATCATATTAGGTGAAATCACAGTTAATAAATTTTCTCAGAGTTAATAGTTTAATTAGCGTCATTTTATGGTTATCTAATTGTTTTGATTGTATACGGTAAAAATACAATTAAATGAATTATTATTTAATTTCTTTTTACCAAAAACTATGTAGATTCCCAAGAATGTAGATTTGAGTTTTTTTCCCTCTAAGTTTTGTTACTTTTCTTACAAGTTTAATTTTTAAAAGAAAGAAGCTGTAAACGAATTTTTAAAGTAAGCAGTTTTATAAATCTTATGCTCATTTAGGTTCAATTGAAAGTACTATGAATTTTTTTTTAAACAAAATTATTTGTTTAATTTAAAACACTTTATTTTAAACCAATACAAAACGTATATCGTTTTAAATTATCTAAGTTTATTTCCGTAAGACAAATTTCAGAAATAGATTGAAATTAATAAGTTTTTGAAGGGAAGCTTAAAGATCAAAAACCTGGGATAAAATATTCAATTTCAATTTCAATTTTGTAACCTCTTTGGATACAAATTGGTTTAAAATCCAAACTAAAAATTTATTCTAATTCGACAAAATAGGTATAATTTTTGCTCTGCAATAATGCTAGTTTAGTATAAATTCGAATAAAAGAATTAACTAATTAATATTTACTACTGACCTTTACTTCAATATTGTTTTTACCATAAACTTTGTGCAAAAGCAGTTTTATTAAGTCAAAAATAATTAATGGAAATTTATAAGAAATTAAATTTAGTAATAAAATTACTAAAATACAAAAATATTTAAATACCTTATTTCAGGCATATTTTGAAATAGTTAAATTGTGTCAAAATCTTACTTAAAAGTTTTCGATGCTTCTGAACTATAAATAATTGCAATTAAATCAAATATGTATTTTATGAATTTTTCTTTTATGATAATACAGACAGTGTATGTTATCACCGTTATCATTATATATGTTTATAATTTTTACCTAAATATGAGTAATTAATGTATAATCAGAAAGGAAAAAAAGAAGTTAAAAAGACTTAAACATTATAAAAGGTTGATTTATCAACGAGGAAAGCAAGATTGAAGACATCAAAGACTTTCAATTTTACAACAATACAAAGTAACTAAAGTTTTTCTGCAGATTCACCAGAAAATATACTTCTGAAACAATGACTGCATAATTACTTTAAATTTACTGCAGAATAACCACGGATTTAAGGTCTAAGTTTTTCTTTTTTAAGTTTTTTTGAAATAAATTATTTATAAATTACTTCACTTTAGCTACGAAATAACAGATTGCATTACAGAAAATCTGCAGTTAACTGTAGAAAAATTACAAAACTACTTCCGTTCTGTAGAAAAACTGCAGCGTATTTTTTGCTGGGGGCTGGTGAGTGAGAGTTTTTGATTATATTTTAATTCATTTCGAAAAAAAGAGCATTTTTCACTCTTTTATTATCACTTTTCCTAATCATCCCTTTAAGACTTAACAAAATTTTATATTTTTTTAACACGAAACGAATAAACTTGACTTGAACGTTTTCTACATACAGAATTCGCCACTAAACCAAGGAAGTTTATTTCATGTTTTGCACATTTTGTTTTCAAATGGATTTAGATACATAAGCCACCACCCTTCAGATGAAGACGATACACTTTATTCCCACCCCCTACTTCAGACATAAAAACAAATTCTTCCAAGTATCTTTGGTCATACTCTAAGAGTAGTTTCCCTCTTTTTAAAATGTGCTTGGAATTTTTTTATTCTCAGAGCCTACATCGAAAACATTTTTATCCCATTAGGAATTTTTCTAAAGTCAGAAAGAAAGTAACGACATCAGTATTTCGTATGGCCTATGCCTATTTCAAAAATACCATTTTTTGTAATTCTCATGAAAAAATATATATCCTTATCCTAGGTATTTTATAGTACTTTTACCCAAAACTCAATAGTACCATTAAGTTTGTACTTTTTTTTTAAAAGAAAAATGAGGTGGTTTTGCAATGCATGGGTAGCAACAGACGATGGCTTCATTTTCCTTCGTTCTCGAATGTTCTTGACTTTTGTGTTTAGAGTTTTTTCCTTTTGAGGTGCATAAATATAAAACATTTTACGGAAATTTAGGATAAACTCATACAATACATGGACTGCTTGGCTTTGAAACCAGCTCTATCAAAATATTTTAAAAAACAATGTCTCTTCAAATATTTTAAGCCATTTTCTTACTCTCCTATCTAATTTTGATCTCATGAGAAAAAACACCTTCTTTAAACTTCTACTCTTTACATGTTATATGTAATCTTAATTAATTAAATATCAAATCTGACTTATAAATTGGAGCAACTACATTAAACGCGTAATCATTTCAAAGCTTTCCCTCAGGGAAACGCATAATATTTAATTTCCTTGATTTTGATTAGAAAATGATCATAAGCCTAAAATTGCTCTAGAAACTGATCAGATTAGATCATTTTGGCAATGAGTACATAGTTTAATTTGTCAAGGATTTGGCAAAACCGCAATACAATTTTAAACAGTTTCATTATTTTATCTTTGTAAAATCTATCACGTAGTTGTAAGTTTCTTTGTTGTATCAGAGCCTGACCTGGATCCTTACTCTATTCTAAATTTGTTTAATTAATTCTAAATTAAATTAAAATTAAGTAAAGTTGTCTAAATTAATTCATATTTTAATGTTCCTGTATTTTTTGTAATTATGGAACACAATGCCAATCTTTTAAAAGCCTTATGTATAAATATAATGCATACTTGGGTACAATCTGCTGAATTAATTTATTCTGCTTTTTAAATTTACATAAATTTTTTCGAAGAAACATTATTTACAAACAAAATTATACATTTAAATAAATTTAAATAAATGAAATTAAGATTTATGAAAATAACTCCATTTTTTAAAAACCTTCGTTTTTTAAGTAATTACGAAAAATAAAAACTAAGAAAGCATTAGCTGTTACTAAGAAAATTAGATATCAACAGCATTTTGAATAAATATTTAAATTATAACTAATGACATTTAGATTCCAATTTAAATTTTTTTACTATTTACCAATAAATTCATCTTTAATAAAAGTAAAATGCACAATATTCGTTAAATATTCATTAAATTATTTTTTTTAAATATTTTTAAGTACCAAAAGTATTTTTCTGAATAATTAAAGAATATATGTCTTACAAGTTTAGTTCATACAGTAATATAAATTAATCATCTCAGAACAACTTATTTAAACATATAATCCAAAACCAATTTTTTTTAAAATATTCCATATCATCAATTAAATTTACTTAGTAACTTTTGGTTAAAACCATGATTTTATGAATGAAACATCAATATCAATAAATTTGCAAAAATTTTAAAATACATGAGATTGAAATTTCTTTTAGAGTAATGATCAATATTGTAACTAAAATGGATATAATATTTATTACATTGCCATAAAAACGCACTACCACACTTTCTCCTCAGAAAGAAAATTTCTAAAATACTCAACTAATAAAAGAAAATATCCACTTTCTTTTCATAATAATATTTTGAAATAGACAATTCTTCACTATATCTATTTCTGAATATTTCATTTATTCATGCGTATTTTTTTTTTTTTTTGAAAAAACAACTCATGTTCTATTTCCTCTTTGTACACATTTTTGAATTTTTAAAATCCGCGATTATTAAAAAAAAATTTATTAGGTGAAAACTGACAAACATGCCACAGTTTTTTTTTCAGTATTATTAGTAATTTCTATAAACGAAGTTTGAGTTTAAAAGAATGGTTTGATAGCAGGATATGTGCTGATACAATTAACTTCAGCGAAAATCAATATTATATTATTACTTTAACAATAATTTGTTTCAGCATTTTCAGTTTAAATTAGTATTCTTGTCAGAGAAAATTTTTTAAATGATTATTTATTATCTTACATTCGTTCATATTACCAATCGTTTTATACTCAATACCGCATCTTCTTAATTAATTTATCAAGACGTAAAATTAGACTTTCAAAGCATTCATTTTTATACTTAAGCATAAGCTTATTATTCAATGATAATATTAATATACCTGTATTGTCACATATACATTATTCTTATTGTATTTTTCTTCCATTTCAGCTCAGAATATGTCTAAAGATGATAAGTAAGTTAATAAATATCATTCTTCTGTACTTCAAACTGTAGGAGTTATAAGATAATTCTTAATTTATGTGCTTTGGTCTTATTGCATTGGATAATATTTAATTTTAAAAATTTACCATGACACTAACTTTTGTTTGATTTTTTAATTAAAAACGGAACTTGATTTAATTTCTGATGGTTTTAAACCATAATTGCTGAAGTACGGTTTATTCTGATCGATTTAAACATTAATTGTTTTGAGTCACGATGGTTCAGTGGTTGAGGCACGGAACATTTATTTGTAGATGAATTTCAGAACGATGGGTACCAGCTTCTCTGGGAAGCTAAGGCGGCCTGTGTGCAACGCTAAACACATTGTCACAATCATCACGTTGGTCGCAAAATAGTGGAGCATTAACTTTCCTGAAGTCATTGGTACATAGCAGGCTGTTACCGAAATGCTTCGTGTTGCTTTTATTAATTATTTTAAATACACTTTTTTAGAGTTTGTGTGTAATAGTTAATAAGAGGAAACTAATCATAAATAAAAATAATAATAGTAACAATTATTGGAGGGTTTAGATATTCAGTAAATTGGCGATTGACAATTACATTTTTATAATTTAAAAATAATGTTCAACCCTTTTTAAAAGTTTTTGTGGTCCTTAAAAAATTAAAAGACGTATGGAGAAATATGAGTAACAAAAAAGTATCACTCGCGCTTGTAATATATGCTGTAAAATTTTAATGACTTATAAAACGCTTATTAGATGCTCTTTTTTTTAAAAAAAGAAAAAATAGCATTAAGAAATTAGTTCGAAAATCTATCTCCAATAGAACTTCTAGATTCTAGTAAAATTAAGGATAAAAAATAAGGATTCTTGTAATACATAAGACTTTTAAGTTTTGTTTTTGCTAAGAGACCAATTCCTTTTTGTCTAAAATTGCTAATGACTTTTTATACAAAAAAGAAAGTGCAATTTTTCAATGGGCTTGAAATTGTTTTTTGTCTAAGTGATTAGGAAATTTATGTTTTTATAATTATTAGTTAAGTATTGCATAATCCAGAATAATGATATATATCTATATAATAGTTTTTTTTCTAGTTATGAGTTTTTGAAAAAGTAAAAGTAAAGAAAAGAATAGCTCTAAGTAAAGAAATTGCTTTGGGCTAAAAAATAAATCACGTATTTTTTTTGCTAATAATTTTCCAATTATTGAAAAATTTACTGTCTATTGGTAACACATAAGAATTAACTTCAAATTATTTTCCAATTTTAGAAGAAAAAAATATGATTGTTTTTTTCATTTTTTTTTTATTTCCAATGCAGCAGGCGATACAGACATTACCCTAGAGCCAAAAATATGATTGTAAAAATATTAATAAATGATTTAAATTAGGAAATTTATTTGCTATTGGTGTAAATTTATTTTTTTTCCTGAAAAGAAATCCTTAATAAATAAATAAATAATACAGTGGCAATGAAGTGCACACAAAAATTCAACCCCGAGTCACTCTTGATCTAATGATCGGATCTTCAATCGTAATGGTTCGAGTTAATGCATAAGAAATAAATTTTTAAAAATGTCGTAAATTTAAAATTCGATCTCTCAGAAACTCTTCGACCTATTTCACTAAATTTTTTATTTTACTGTGTAAAATTACATACTTTAAATTAATTTTTAAAATTGTATAAACTTAAAATAAATAATCTTCTTGATTATTTTTAAATATCTTATAAAAAATAAGAAACCTTTATTGAAATTATTTTTTGTACGAAATTACCTTTAGATAAACCAGTTTTGTTAAAAAAGGGCTAAACTGTTTGAAATAAATAATAAATGCTGGCGAGATATGATGAAATAAGCAAAAATTAAAATTATCATTCAGGAGTCAAAACTGCTGCCTCCTCGCCCTCCTGTCAAATCATCTCTCTCTCTCTCCAGCCAAATCACTCTCGCTCCCCTGCTCTGCTGCCAAATCACGGGCATAATATCGTATATTTTGGGGGTCAGAAATCAGAATCCTTTAAAAAAACGGCATGTTTATTCAGCGAAAGTACATTTTTGCACCTAATTTTGTAACGTAAAATATCGTCACCTATTATAAATCATCATATTCGAGGTCCTCCCCCTGAACCATAAGATTGAGTCTTAGAGCATGACGATACGATCATTAAATCAAAAATTATTGAAGGTTGATCCGTTTATTTCTTTAAGTACTGTATCTTGACTATATTTAGCAATAAATTATTTAAATTTGATATTTTGCTTTGCCTATTTTTTTTTTAATTTTACAAACCCAATATCAATCATTCATCCAAGCGAATTTTTTAAGTTGACACTTATAATGAAATCATGATGCATGTTTCAGAACTAGTTAATATAAAATGTGAAATAATATGTGGGTCATCTGAAGGATAAATTTTTTTCAGATGCCAAACACCATTAAGAAAAGATACAGATGATGACTGGAAGTCGTGCAGTTGTGCTGGTGAAGAAAAGTGTCCTGATATTATACCAGGTACATTTTTTACGTATTGATGTTTTTGATACACCATAATACCATTATTTCTACTTCAATTTTTTCTAAAATCCTTTTCGTTTCCAACAGGACCATTAAAAGAAGGGATGATGGATGACGAAGACGATTTATGTGGTGATGGTCTGCATTGGCGGACGTCATCTGTCGATAGTGGCCCTGGCATTCTTACGCCAGATTCATTTTCAAGAAGCAAATTGGTAAATACTAAGTTTATTTATTTTAAATTGCACTTATTTATGTTGCCAAACTTTGCGTGTGATTAAAGTGCTTAATTGAATTTTATGAAGACTTAAGCGTGTGTGCAACTTTATGCAAATTTTCGGAAAGTGTGAACAGTAAAGAAAAAAAATACAAATGCTGTGTTTATGCCGTAAAAATATTACTCAAATGGGTTCAAATATTAAGAAGCTATAATAGCTTGTTTAGCCCTGTGTCCCTATAATGTACACAGTAAGAAGTTTATGAAGAGAAGCTTCCAAATTGACCAAGAGAGAAAAGTATCTGAATCATTTATCACGCTTATTATATCCGAAACTACAATTTCTCAAATTGCTCCAAAATCAAGCTAACTGTAAAAAGGGTTATTTTTTGATAAAGCTTAAGCCAAGTACAAGTACGACAAAGGTCCACAAACTACCCATTAACCACAAACCACAAAGGTACTGCAAATTATCCATGGACTGTTTCAGTTTCTTAAATATCAAATTAAAACTTTATTTTATAATTTATTTGAAAAGTTTCTGTTTGAAATAAATTGTTAGTAAGCTGGCGAACACTGTGAGAAATAACGTTCAATGATGCACCAAATAATTAGTGCTGATTTAGCTGCTCCCAATTTAGTGAAAAACGAAGTTCTACCAATGTTGTAGTGCTGTAAGTTTTACGTCTTCTTTTGTAGCTAATAGTTGAACTAAATCTAAGGTTTTTCTTTATACTCATTTTTCAGTGAGACGTCGAACCAAGTTCAAAACTTGACTGTTTGTAAAATTTTAAGCTAAAGAGTGAACCAAGATTTTGATCAGACGAAAACCAATGATTTAGTTCAACGTTTAACACAATAGTACCTTTGTGAGCACTACAACAAATCCTTTATTTCTGTTTAAAGTTGAAATTATTTAGTTAAACGCTGAACGTTCAAATGTATATATTCTATTTTATTTTACACATAATCCTGTAGTTCAACATTGGAAAGCCTTTTAAGCGTTAAATTTGACTACTTTATATAGCTTTAACGAATTATATTAATAAAAAACATTTTTCACTAAATTAACTGAAAATCAATATGAATAATAATTCTATTGCAATTTTTATAATTTTTGTCATCCTGACGGGTATTTCTTTTATGCTGAAAATTAAAAAAATAGGAAGGGGTGACGTGATTACAATTTTGTATTTATCATTCTGTTTGCTTAACTGAAAAAAATGTGTCACTTTTGAAGATCCAAATAAGTTTTTAGAAAAAATAATTGCTTAATTCAAGCAGTAAATATTTTGGAACGTTTGAAATAATCTTGAAAATGACCATTTCCCCTTGTTCATTATTAATACATTATCAATTATATTTAATTATTAGTACTTAATTTGTGATACCTATAATTGCCTATATTAACTGTTCACTTTAATGTAGATTTAACTATAAAATTGTCAAAGAATATAAGCTCAGTAAGGAGGAGAAAAAAAACAAGTAACTATTGCAAGATTAAAGTTGCATTTTTCTACATTTTACTTTTAATTCCAAGTTGTAAATCGGGGAAAAACATATTATTATTAAATTTCCTCTTATTAGAGGAATTTAAAAACAGTTGTTTATCACTTTCCCACAGCTCTGTAATTTTTCATTCATAATAGAACATCCTCATAAGTATATTCAATTACTATCTACCTACCATTGTGAAATATTTGAAACACGTTTCTCCTGCTCCCATAACTAAAACTAAGTTTTGCATAAGGACAGATTTTACAGTAACATAAAGAACATTCAGAAGAAAAAATCTTAGATAGTTTTATCTAATAGAAGTATTTTATTGCAAGACTCTTTTTGAAACATGTTCTCGCAATCAGTAAGTAATTCGATTCAGAGATTCAATGATTCGTTTTGCTCAACTCTAACTGTAACTTCCACACTGGGATTTCATGTTTTGTCAAAACGGTATTTACCCAACCAACGTGTAAGCAAAAGAAAAAGTTGACAAATGTGTTCTTAAACTCGTGTTAGGTGGCAGAAGCTCTTTGATTAAAGGTGTGGGACATATTGGACAACATTTGAGGCAATAAAGCTCACTTTTTCTATGATTCGTTTCTTTTTTCCGTTTTATTTAATTTAAATTAAGTGTAATATTAATAGCTTGTAATCAAGTATTTTAATAACAAAATTCTTGTTACCATTTAATATTAATACTTTTACAAGTGATAAAAACTATTTTCATCATCTGAATTCTTGCGTTTGTTTTTAATGCTTTTGTTTTCTGCAGACATAAAAGACTCGTTTTCATTTTAGCGACAATAGTGCCACCTCATTTTGGGGGAATTTCTTTAACAGTGACTGATTAGTTAGAATATTAACTTTCAATTGACATATAATAAAATAAATAGCATGATAAAACTGCCATATAGAACTATTTGTTTTACAAAAAAAATGGTCGTAATTTCTAAGTATTAAAAGTAAAAACACAAACACTCCTTACGTTCTAGAAATCATCCAAAGTCTCGTTTATCTAAAAGCAGTCCTTCAAATATCCTGTACGTATGAATTATGATGTGTCGAATCACTAGTTTTACCCAAATACTTTCTTTCATTTTTTTTAAACTTAAATATTGCAGACCAAGAAAATAATATTGTTAAATATATTATTTCCCTAGCAACAATTTTACATTTGCCCCAGTTGGGCTCAGAATAGGCTCAATATGGGTCCTATGAGAACACGCACCGAGGGACAAATATTGGGGTGGCTCAATTTTTTAATATTCGTCCTAGAATAGCCTATATAGGGCCTACATTATGCAATATAGAACCCATATTGGCTAAATAATGGATAGAAAGCATCGGGTGAATCGTACAATTCTATATAGAACCGATATTGTTCATAAAGTGACTGTAAAATATCGGATGACTCGAAAAAATTCTATATAGGGCCAATATTGGAAAAAAAACTGCCTTTTGAACAATTATTGAGCAAAGATTCAAAAATATCGCCCAATGAGGGCCTAATTTATTTTGCTGTTAGGGTTAATTCAAATGTGTTTACATTGTTTGGTGACCAATAGTTTAAACAAAAAATGCATTTACTTTTCAGAACTCATCTGGAGTGCCATTACTACAAAACAGTCCTCCAAATACACCCCATTCCCAAGAATTATCATTACAACCAACATTACTGCAGGAATATTCACCAACGCAAATCATCGCCAGAACTGCGAAGCAAGCAAAACAGGCACTTGCAGACAGTCATACAGAGCTCATCACAACAACCAGTAGGCAAACAAAAGTTTGAAAACTATGTGTGAGTATTGCTTCCATTAAACTAACGTTCAGTGCCCAAAGAATAAGATAAGGATCGAATCTTTGCATTCAAGAACTCAATCTTCATGGTTCAAGGATGTGACCTCCATTATGCTAATCAAAATGTTCAGATTATTTTTTTAAGTTCAGAATTCAGACACAAAAATGTACATTTTCTAAATAAACATGCCTTTTTTTATTGACGGATTTGGAATTCCGAACCCTAAGATATAGGTATACATATTGTCCAATAGGTTTGGTCGGGAGAGCGGTTCACAGTTTGGATCTCTTAATGTTAAATTTACTTTTTAAGTATGTCACCATGACTCGAGAACTTTTTAAGTGACTTGAAAAAATTTTGCACTTAATTAAATATTTTGAATTGTAATGTAAGCAAATTTAGGTTTAGGCAAGGTAAGTTTTTTTTAAATTTATTTGTTTGTTTTTTAACAGTGCACAATTTGCTTGATGACCATCACTAAATATTGACCCAAAATATCAATTTTATTGCTATATACATCATTTTACTGAATGAGAGATTGAATCGACCGCAATTCGGCAAATCGCTATTATTTTTTTCCTCTTATAATTGTTCTCATTTGTAGTTTTAATAGTGAACATTTCGAAATACATTTCGAAATATGGTTATTTTTCTTATAAATTTTAACTGTCCATTTTTTGCAACTGTATGCAAAATTGTTTTACTTACTTTTATTGTGAAATCTCTTTAGAATACAAAATCAAACTTCATGTTATGGTTAATTAAAAAAATTGTCTTTGATTATTGGTCAAGAAGCATTTTTTGACTTGTGACACATCTTTAAGTAAACGAAACTGCAAATTTTGAGCTTGAAAACGCGTTAAACTTACATTCTTCGAAAAATCTAATATATTAGTTATGTTATGAAAAATTTACTTTTAAAATATTCTTATAACTTCACATGAAACAGTAATTTTTCTGTACAGAGAAAAAGTAAAAATTTACAACTATAATAATTTTTCGTAAATATGTTTAATATGAATAATCTTAAACAAGTAAAACTGACCTGTCTATAACTAAAACTTCATATATGTCTATAGCTGTCTATAGTATAACTTCAGGAATTAGTTTAAATAAATCTGAATAATTTTAGGAATTTATGTATTTTTTATGTCATTAATAAGTCTACCAAGAACCATCATACATGACAAATTTACAACTTTAATAAGGCGCTAATAAGATTTTATGTGTTGTAATCAAGTTGAAACAGGACATGATTGACATCCACGATATTGTTGTCGAATTTTACGCTGTATTTAAATATTAGCAATTTTTAATAATGTTTGAATTAAACTCGTTCCTAAAATGCAAATAGTGTAACGTAATTACCAGACATTATACTTAATCCTTTTTAAATATGCTTTTTTTTATTTGCAAGTATGTTGAACTAAATGACTAATAATAATTTTTATTTACAGAAATTGTAATTTAAGTCAAAATAAAGACAATGCTGAACTACTCATAGCAGAATGTGATCCTGACGATTATTCATCTTCGTGATGATGATGTTATAATCTTCATACTTGGGGACAATACCGAGGACTAATGGTGAAATAAGACTATTAATTTTTTCCAGTCGTCCTCAGATCACAAATCATCCATCGATTCAAAAGTGAAGTTAGTGACGTATGCTGCTGAAAGAAATACACAACATTTATCATAAACAAGTTATCAGGGTCGGGTTTTTGTGACACTTTTATTAATAAGCCTGTGCACAACAACGTGATCTCTACATTCATTTTTCTTCCAGGAGCTTAGTGTGGCTTGTTATCATGAGAAGATAACAAAAAAAAACTATGAAAATTATAAAAGTGGAGCAAGAAACTTCATCATACATTTCGTATAATTTATTTAACTCATTGAAACTCTTGTACGGAAAAGCTGACTGTGACCAATGAATTTATGAACAATTTCTGTGATGGATCCTTTATTACTTGTTTTGTATGTATTTCGGATACTTCAAACAGTCTTAAGTCTTTGCTAATTTGATTTCAAACTCAACGAAATTACTTCTTAAGAATTTAGAATTCCTCAAATTAACAGTTTCATCATTATTATTACGTTAGGTGTGATTTAGAATACTTAAATTAAATCTTATTTTAATAATTAAACCTTTATATTTTTTTGAAATAAATGTTGTCTGCATAAAAATTTGTTTGTGCTTTTTGTTATTAACTAGCAAATAAAATTTGCAATCATAAAAATAAATTTTCCCTACGGCAGATAAATTTTGGGAGATGTTTGCGAAACCTTATAATTTCTTAGATTTGTATTTTTAAATTATCTTAATCATGTATTGACTTTTAAATGTGCTATTAAAGTAATTAATTGCTTAATTTACTTATTATTATTCAATTATTTTGTATTTATTTTTAATTACTTTTACTTGCAAAATTATAAATTAAATTTTAGGAATCATTTTACACTTTCTATAAAATTTTATTTCATATTTTCTGAGCTATAAATTTATTTGAACACTTTAAGTATTTGGTAAATTTTATAAGTATAAAAACTTGATTGAGTGTTGAATAAATATTATAGAAGGACTAAAAGGATATGAAGTAAAGAAAATTATTTATTTTGGAGATATTTCTGTAAACAGAGGGAAAACAAACAAATAAACAAATTGCACCACTGTACAGAAAAACGAATACTTAAAAAGTCTTATATCATGGTGAATATTTTTCAATATGAAAAGTAACTTGTGTCTACAAACTATGGAAAAAAACTTTTATATTATAAATAAATAGATATGGATTTCGAAATATCACTTCAAAATGTTTTGATGATACAAATAAAACTTTTTATCATTTTGCATTTTGTGTAGTTTATTTTACTATTATTTTACATATTTTAAATAACTGTAGTTTATTTTATATTTTCCCGTCACTTGACTCATTTATTTCCGCTGCATATAAGGGACATACAGTTAACTATTGCGGGTAGCTCAGCTACAAATAACATTCCCGATATTTAGTCCTTGTAGTTAAAACAAAACAAAAATTGCGAAAATAATTATTTTCAACATGAACCGTTTTTGATCGTAATGTTATGCTCTTTTAACTTAAAACAATATTTAAATATTATTTTTATTATAAATCAGTATTCTTAATTTTTGTCATTGATATTCTTATTTATGGTTTTCTAAGTAATTTCGTATTTAGAAAGGTCGGTTTATTTAAACAAAATTATTTTAAATTTTGTCAAATGACTTGATTATTATTTTACACACTATAAGTATTAAACTTATCTAAACGTATTAAATGTTTATTTAATATTTGAAACGTAGAAATAAGCTTCACGAAATAACTTTGTCCCAAAAGTGAATTTGGAGACTTTTCTGGCCAGGGAGCTTTGCTGAATGGTTAGGCAGATATTTTACATAATACAAAGTCACCATAATAGAAGTGATTCAAATGCTTAAAAATATTATGAGCAGAATTTGTAAACATAAAATGTTGATAAGAAACTTACAGTGTTCCTTAAAAAACAAGTTTGATTGTTTGTTTTTTTAATTAAGATTCAATCATTTCTGATATGTGTTCAATGAATCATTTGCAACAAAATTGTACAACCCTAAGAACTTGCAAAATATTATCCTCGATATTATTTTGATAGTTGTCAGTTCAGGCTACATCATCGAAAACAACATACAATTAATGTGTAGTATGCCTATGCATTCGGTTTTTACAGAGTAGAGTTGTAAAAAATCAGGGATCAAATTGCGGTATAATATACGTGGACTTTGGATGAGTCATCCGTAATATACACTTCACCGTAAAATCCATTATTATCATAAAATATTATACCATAATTTTTAGATCAATATTTATTCAATTGGAATGATTCAGTGATTTTACGTTAGATATAACTGTATATATTACGGTATATCAGATTTATTGATCCGTAATTTGATCTAGAAATCTTCACAGCGTATAAAAACATAACTAATACAGCTAATTACCACTGGTTTATCACAATATAAATAATACCAACAATAAATAAAACTTTCTAGAACAATTGGTAATAGCGTTTTACTGATATCGATAGTTTTTTTAAAGGAAAAATTTGAAATAAATTTTAAAATAATTACTTTCATATAATAGTTCATAAATAATGATACAGTAATATTTTTTGAACGTTAGTTATTCACAATTCAGGAGGTGATTTTCAAACTTCATAAAGTTTACTAATAATGTGAGCATTCTCAATGCATGCTATTCACTGACCTCTGATCGCCATCGAGGGAGTGTGAGAACCTGATTCGTGAAATATATTTTCCCACAAAAAACTCACCAATCAGAGACAATTTTTGTCTTGATGGTGATCAGAACAGCAGCAGTGAAAATACTCCCTAAACAAGCAATAAGTGGGGAACGCAGTTATTATTGACAAAATAATGCAGTTTGCTTTACAAGAGAGTGTGCTTATAAATAAATAACGTCCATTATAGTTTAGCATTTGTGGCTTAAGCAAGCTGCAAAACATGTAATTCAACAAGTTTGGGGAGAAAAGAAACAATACTTTGTTTAAATTATAAATACTGAAGTTACTTATTTATATACCAACTAGCTGAATACCCGGTCTTCACACGAGGAGAGTAAAAAAAAATGTAAAGAATCAATAAATCAGTATTGAGAAACACTACGAAATCATGCTCAAAGCTGAAAATCATATACCGTTCCAATTAAAGAACTTGGAGGAAGAACCAGGAAAGTGAAATTTTTAGGGGAATTAACGAATAAGGGAAAATAAGAAAGTGGTTGCATCAATACGGATATGTTTAATGTAACAGAACTATTTTCGCTTCCACTCAAATCTTAACATAACTAACTACATCAGTTTTCAGTATGCTTGCATGATTTTTATTTCAAATTAGGCAGGGGTAAATAAATAAAAACAAGGAAATATTTGTCCCTCTTTCGAATAAATTGGTTATAAAATAGTTAGGATGCAACTTTTTTTTAGTTCTGAAAATGTAACTTACCTGCTTCTTCCACTAAGTTTTTCAATTAATACAGTTAAAATAATTTTAAAAAAATTATTAATATTATTTGTCGCCCTTTTTGGTGCCTTTGCGTTATTGAAGTAAGCAAAATCAGTTTTTTTGTAGTTTATACCAATAGAACAAAGATAAAATGTATTTAGTATCATTTCGCATGATGCTATTGCACTATCAAGTAATTTTCTAAGGTAGATATCCCTTTCGAGGACCGTAAAACGATTATTTCCAGAGTATCAGTATGTACTACTAAGTAATGGTACTATCTTAATAATCACCAAATATATCTATATGATATCTATATCTATATGATATGAAGATACCTTTATTAGTATATTTGGAACATATTACATAACCCTTCAATTTTAAACTTTAGCGAAAAATACATTTATCAGTGACAGCAAACAAAATTCGAATTTTTTTTTTTAAAAAATAAAATTCTTATTAGAACTTAATAAGATTTTAGGAGCGTGGGCATTTCTCTATTTGACCTTTAATTCACCATTGAAATATTTATAAGTAGTGAAGATACGAAATTCCTTACATTCTAATCCATTAAAATACTACCACTATCTTATCATACCATACACTAGATAATCCATACACTATCTTTGCTACCACTGAAAAAAAAAATTCTGAAATTACGAAAGACCCGTTGTTGAATCGTTATCGAAACTGAACCAATTACCATAATACCAGTATAACATATTAACGTCAGTAGTGCAAAATAAGTAAGCGTCATCCGTAAATGGCGATTTTTTCAGTTTTCCTAAACAAATTTCCTATTAACACCTTTTTTTTCCTTAAAAATTGGCTTTTTATCACATAGTTTTTTTTTTATTTCAATCAATTCATATTATCTGTAGTAATTAAGCATTAGTGTCAATAATAATATCGTGATTTTTTAAGGCTCCCCAAAATGAATAAGTACATAGTCTCCATTATTTTTGCTTTTTAGTGGGTACGTTTTTTTATATAAATTAATATAATACTAACATCAATTAAGCTTCACTATCATTGTTGATAGTATGATGATTTCTTATGGTTCTTCTAGATAAATATCTTTACTCCATTACTTTTGCGTTCTAATACATAGTTAATTTATCTTATTTCAATATGCATATATTACCTAAATTAAGCGAACCAAATATATCAATGTAATATTTTATACCTATCTAAGTGTATTTGGTATTTATAGCATAACCTTTCAACATTTGAGATTATACATATTTGTCAGAAGCTACCTACTAAAGCCGAATTTTTAAAAAAATATATATATCAGAACTTCATAAGGATTTTGGAGCATGACCATTTCTCTATCTGACCTTTAATTCACTGTTAAATTATTTACAAGTCGTGGTAGAAAATATTTCTTTTAATTCTAATTCTTCAAAATATTAATGCACTATCTTAGTTACCACTGGAAAAAAATATTTTCTGAAACTACGGAAAACCCGTTGTTGAATTCTTATCAAAATCAATTCACCAATTACCATAATACCAGTAGTACATATTACCGTCAGTGATACATACGAATTAATTGTCATCTGTAAATGGCGATTTTCTACGGTTTTCTTAAATGAATTTCCAATTAATCTTTCTTCCGAGAGCTTGGAGTTTTAGCACATAGCTTATTTTATTTTATTTCAATTAATACGCATTATCAGTATTGATTGAGCATTAGTGTCAATAATAATATGCATATTTTTTAGAGTTACCCAAAACACGAATAAATATCTTTTCTACTTATTTTTTCTTCTTAGTTCAGAAGTTACTTTTTTTATTTCAATTAATGCATATTGCCAACATTAATTAAGCATCATTGTCGTCAATGATAGTATGACGATTTCTTACGGTTCTTCTAGATCTTGACAAATAAATACTTTTACTCCATTTACTTTGCTTTCTAGTACAATGCTTATTATTTTATTTCAATATACATTTATTACCGAAATTAATTAATCATAATTGGTGTAACTGAGCCTCTTTGGCGTCAATTTCTGATGTTTCTCCTAAGCTAATTAGTACCGCTTTTCCATTAATTTTTGCTTTTGATAACATAAATATTTTGTGTCTATTCAATTACCGTTGGTTTTAATAAATAAGTAATTTTTTAGAAACACGTTTAAAAGAATTAATATAAATAAAATAAAAACTCGCAGAGACGTAGACCACGCGTGCTACCACGTAATGTTCATTAAATTGATCTGACGTCGCGAATATAAAATAATTAAATATTTAAATACGTGCAATAAACTATTTTTTGATCAAATACAATGATAAGCTAGCAATTATCACTGATGTATCTTTAAAATATGCGAAAATTAATTCGTTAAATTTAAAACAATGGCTAACGCTTAACTAATCAGAAAATTCCATTTCGTTTTTCTCTCATCCTATTA